TTTGCATTTTAATTTGCATTTTAGGTTTTAAAATCAAGATTTATCTCACAGTGCACAGTTTAAACACACCCAGGAGAATTAACCTTTGTGCAAAGATGGAAATATGAGCTAATACAAGAAGCTTTATTTCAGAACAGGCTTGTAGAGGGTTAGCCAGTTTTTGTTTTATATTTTGTTCTAATCAGTAGGGATGTAACAATATCCAAATCTCTCTATACGATATTTACTGTGTATACTATATTTATTGCAATATGTTGTGGAGGCAACCAAAATTGTAAATATGCTCATTTTCTGCCATAATCCACATAGTTTAAAAGTGCTTACTAACAGTTATTTCATCATGTAGATTGGACTGAAACAGAGCAAAGGATCGTGGTCTATTTACGATAATTCTCTTCTTTAGCTGTTACTACACCATAACAATTAATTTGAGCAAAGAGACTCCTAATTTGATATATTATGATTGTCCGTGATGTTACTGTGAGACTTTTGATGACATGATATTTGGATTATTATTCTTACATCCCCTACATCTGTGTCATTTGCAGCTATTTAAATTACAGCTATTTTTGATGAATTAATACTTGTATGTATTATTATATTCCATCTTAGTGCAATTACAAATAGATGTATAACTCATAATAGCATAGTGACAATTAGGGATGCACTGATACTGTTAACTGGTATCGAATATCAGCACTGAACCATGAAAATTTGCTGGACTGGGTCTGATATTCTCGTTGAGGCTCTGAATTGATTTAATAAGACTAATTACCGGTCATAGTTGACCCAGAAAATCTCATAATGTTTGAGCTTTTAATATACAAATTCTTCTGTAGTTACTTGAGAGGTAAATAAGAGGGTTATAACACATTTTGTCATACGATATTTCTCATTTTTGGGAAAGTAAAGTGTATTTTTAGTCTCTGCACTGGTATCTATAGATAATGGGCAGTCATTGTCGGAACTGAAAAAGCTGTATCTCTAGTGACAATAGTAAATACATGGTTTCATTAAATTGTGTAATCCTTAAGCGTGTTTCATTTCACATTCAGAAAACCCTGAATCTGGCCTGTTCTGTATATAAACCTGGAGGAGTTTTGAACAGGAAGTTGCCCCCTACACGTCTCTCCCTGGTGCAGCTGGCAGCCTGGTGCACACATTACATTACACACATAATGGTGCAGCTGGCCGAAATATTGTGATACCATATTGTCAAAAGTCTCACAATAATATCAAAGGCCATCACAATATACTGAATTACAAGTTTGTTAGCTTGAATTAATAGTTTTGGTGAATTTAATGTCTTTTTTCTGTAAAGCGCTTTGAACTGCTAGACAATTATCTATAAACTAAACTACATAGACCATGATTCTTTGGTGTTGTCAGTGCAGACTACAAGAAATAACTGTTATTAAGCACTTTTCAATCATAATTCTTCATATTATAACAGTACCAAAGGCTTTAAAAAGGAAAAAGGAGCATATTCACAATTTTGTAAGCCTCCACAACACTGAACTGTGAGATGCATATCGTGAAAATATTCAAATATTATTCAAATCAAATATTGTATGGAGGGATTTTGATATCGTTACATCCCTACTGGCAGCCTCGTGCGCACATTACATTACACACATAAGACTGGATTGTTTCGCGTGAGCACACAGCAGCAGCAGCAGTGAGTTTGTGCTGAGCTGGTCGGGACGTCAGGACGAATCAATGACAGGACAGCTGACTGGACATGCCTATTCATGTGCCAAAGAAAGACAGAGAAAAGGGCCTTCGAAAAGAAATGAGTTAAGCCCCTAGAGCAACATGTTTGGCACTCTGCACTCTTCCTCTCATCGCCAGTCAGGGTGCAGTGATGAGGGCACAAAAGATGGAGAGGAAATAGCAAAGATGAAATGGCTTATATGGATCTATTCTTCTGTTGTTCTTGAACTTTGCGTCGCAACACTGGTATTTCCCCCTTGTGAAACAAATAAAGGTTCTTTTATCTTATTCTGTATGTTAACTTTAAACCTCTTGCTGGTTTTGGTAATTTTCCATCAATGTTTAGATGAGACTACGGTCGCACAGGAATTTAATAATTTAACAGTATACACATTTTGGGGGTAAATAGTTATTTATCTTTGCTTCTACTAAATAAAATAGTGCGCAAATGATTAAATATTGCATAAAGTTACTACTATAGATTTATAATAATACAACAAGCAGAAATGATACTGATTTATTGCTCAGATTTTTTTAAGATTACAGGGGCAAAAATTAAACTAAGTAACTCAAATTAGACCACTTTATTCTGCTCTAATAATAGGAAACACTGCTCCAGACCACAATTAAAACAAGCCAGAATCTTAAAAAGGACCAAAAGCCTAAAGTAAAGTTATATATGAAATCAAATAGTGTTAATATCTAAAAATTTCACAAGTTTGAATATCTTAATAATCTTAAACACCAGCAGAAGCTCCAGTTATTAGCCGACTAAATATTCAATCCATATTATTTAAGCTTTAAAAACTCTAAGCAGGTCTTTGCCACAGACATAAGCTCTTACTGTAGGCTCCGCTCTTATGGCCCGTTTTTTTCCATCTGTTGCCCACGGCTCTCTGACTTCATCCCCATTGTGTTAACTCATTACGTTCGCCTTAACCTTAACCCCGTAATTGCCACCCTCGAGTTTCTCTGGCACATCCTCCCCCTCTCCGAGACAGTGTGCCACATAGGCCGTGCACTAATCTGATGGCGTCTGCCCACAAAACACCTGCCACGTTCGGAAAAACCATTGAAACTCCTCCCAATCCCTATCGCCATGCCCGTGTGAGCGAATGAGCGCCTATGACCGCCCCGAGCAGGCAGATGCGCCTACAGATAATTAGTCAGACACACTCATCCCTGGAAAATCATCCCAGCCCCGACCTCTTTCTATCCTCCCAGAGTACGCCGCACCTCGTTTTTCTCTCATTCAAGCGCTGATAACACAAACAAGAGTTGTCTTTTGTGGGTCTTTTTGTGCAGGCATGTATTTGGAAGACAGTGATGTGAGCGCCCAGGACCTCTTTGGCCCAACAATAACTGTGGCGACCCCCCAGTGCGGGCGGAGGGCCAGACATGAGCCGATGTGACAGTTCTGGTGCGACTCACACAATAGCAGGTTTTCTCTTTACTGCCCGGATGGGTTCATGCCAGAGAGCACTTCTCTTCCTCTAAAACACTAATATAGTCGTGTTAGCCCCAGGACTCCACCACAATAAGGGCACGATTTTTGTAGGATGTCCATGTTGAGTTCAAAAATCTCTCTCCTCCTCTCTCTTCAGTCAGCTGATGATAATTTGCCTCGTGGTGTTCATGATCAGTCCAGATGTGAAAATAGCTTTTGTTTTAAAATGTCCTAAGTGTCTCCCACATGTGAAACTCAACACCTCCCCATGCTCACAGGCTCATACAGATGTGTGTTTTAAATGAAGTTTGTGCATAATGGATTATTGATTGTGGATTAGAGTGGCCTGTCCCTCAGGGCTCATCCTGATCAGCCACGAATGAATACAAGCCTTCATGCTTCATGTCACACACTCAATTTAGGAGAGGAAACCCGGGACATGCATGTGGAGACTCCGACGCAAACACTATGGCCACTATGTCTGTGCATTAGACAGAAAGAGCGCTTTGTGAGGGCACAAAAGGAGGACAATGTCAGGCTCCTTCTGCTGCAGTGTGCCATTGTGTGTCTCAGATAGATACTCACAAATATGAAGTGGCTATATGTGTAGATTATTTGAGGCTAAATCACTCACTGTCATTCAAATGTTTCTTTTTTGTTTTTAGTATGTTTAATTCTGTTTGGTTGTTTATAGTAGCAGTATGAAGTAGCTGAACCAGAATTTTTAACTCTGTAGCACCCCCTTTTGGATTTACAGACTATTCAACTTAATCTGTTTTAAAGTGACCTTAAAACTTATACAAAGTTAAACACATTGTTGTTTAAAGAAAAAAAAATGTGAGGACTTGTGTTGATATACACTACCTGTCAAAAGTTTTAGAACACCACACTTGTTCATACTTTTTTTTACTGTTTACTGTTTACTTTTGACCAAATTATATTCTAAACTTTTCATTTATAAAAGTGTCCACCTTTGGCAGATATAACAGCTTAACACACTCACGGCATTATTTTTACAATAGAAATCAAATATTCTTCAGAAAGTTCTTCCCAAGTTTGTTGCAGAAGTTCCCGTAAATGTGTGGCACTTGTAGGTTGCTTGGATTTCACTCTTCTGTCCAGTTCATTCCAAAACCAGCTCGATGGGGTTTAAGTCTGGAGACTGTGCGGGCCACTCCATGTTTTCAAGCTTATCATCTTTTTATTTTTTCCTGAGGTAGTTTTGGCAAAGCTTAGACTTGTATTTTGTTATCTTTTATCTTAATTTTTAACCTCTGGCTGTTCAGTTCTTACTTTTGTACCATTTCATTGGACTTGCACGACTTGAATTGCAATAAATAACTGTAAAATTAGGGTGTTCTAAAACTTTTGACCCGTAGTGTACATAATAAATAGATAACAATATATTTTGAGGAGCCTGGACACCTCCCTGGAGAGGTGTTCTGGGCATGTCCCACCGGGAGGAGGTCCCGGGGAAGACCTGGGACAAGCTGAAGGGACTATGTCTCTCGGCTGGCCTGGGAACACCTCGGGATCCCCCGGAGGAGTTGGAGGAAATGTGTGTAGAGAGGGAAGTCTGGGAGACCCTGCTCAGACTGCTGCCCCCGTGACCCAGATAAGCGGAAGAAAATGGAAGGATGGATATTTTGAGTACAGACACATTAACTGAAAATATTTCTGTTTTTATGTTTTTCAGGTGGTCATGTAAGAAAGAGCTCTAAAAACCAGGATGGATACCAATACTGTGATTTTCTGCACTTTTTTGAAACCTCCTGTGAGAACTTGCTAATTTTTGGAATATAAAAACTTCTCAAGGATTTATAATATTTCAGACCAAGTCATGGCGCTGGAAGAGAAGGAGGACAGCACTAAGAAATGCACAGACAAAATTAAAGTGGAGCCAGAAGAAGACAGCTCATCGGGTCATACCTGTGGAGTGTGCGGCCGAAGTTTTCCTCTCCTGAGCTCTCTGTCTCAGCACATGAGGAGACACACGCGAGAAAAGCCATACAAATGCCCTTACTGCGAGCATAGAACTGCGCAGAAAGGCAGTTTAAAAGCACATATTAGAAGCCATAAACTGGGACTGCTGACCCAAAGCTCAAGCAACAAAGAGGGGGATGGAGATCAGGAGGTGAAGGACGGCGCTGCCCAGTCACCCGATCCATCCGATATGGACAAGATGGCTGACAAGAAACACAACGTCAACGGCAAGGTGAAGAAGAAAGCTGCCAAGAAAAAGGTTAAAGGTCAGGACGTCGATCAGGTTGATTCAGGGCCATTTACGTGCACCATTTGTAGCCAGGAGTTCCCTCAGGTATTACTGCTCAAAACCCACATGAAAAGACATCGCAATGTTCAAGATCACGGGTGTAAGATTTGCGGACGGCGGTTTCGTCAGGCCTGGTTCCTTCAAAGCCACATGCGCATCCACAGAGTCAAAGCCCAGATGAAGAATGGTAAAGATAGTGATCTGCCAGCCACCATCAACGGAGTGCCCCAGGATCCAGTGTCGCTAATAAATGAGGAGTGCCTGTACGAGCTTTGTGCCAGCTGTGGGAACTTTTTCCATGATTTAAGGACATTACAAGTACATGAAAAACTGCACATGTTCAATCACACTCGTAATCATCTACAAAACCCCCTGCAGGACCACAGTGATGTCTCTGATGTGGACATTGCTAAAAGGCAATTTTTGAAAAGCCTAAATCTGACTTGTGCAGGGGAAAAGGAGAATACTGAGAAAAAATGTCAAGGTAAAAGAATTGTTGAGTTGGATCCAGTTTGTAGCTATCAAGCATGGCAGTTGGCCACGAGGGGGCGTCTGGCAGAGGTTACAGAGAAGTGTCTGGGATGGCAGGAGAGGCTGGCGGACGCAGAGGTGTTGTATGACATAGAAAAGGGTGAGTATATCCCTCTAAAACAGGACAAAAAGAGGAAACAGACAGACGCCCCCAGCTCCAGTGTTAAAAAGAAGAAGACAGAGACAGGCCTCTGCGGCAGTAAAACTCTGGACAAGAGGATCTGCCAGGACCGCATCCTGCTCAACGGACTGGGACATGCTTTTTATGAAGCTCTGCAGGCCAAGAAAGTCAAGGACACTCACAGCTCAGCTAAAGCCAGCAGCAAGAGCCAAGAGCTGGAAGGTAACCCAGAGCGCACACACTTTTAGATGTATTAATTATATATGAATGCTACAAAAATGTAGACTGGAAAAAGAGTGTCCAACAGTTTTCTGCATTCACTTTACAGTGGCATTAGTGTTATTTGCAAATCATCAATGCTAACAATAGAATTATGTATCATTTAAAGGGAGCCCTCTAGTGTTTTAATAACCGTACTACAGGATCAAATTTTACAGTGTTAATAGTGTAAACCTCTGGAGCACAAACAACAATTTGATTCTTGACCAGACTGGCTAAGATAAATTTTTTTATTAATTATATAATTTTTTTAAGTACAGTGGTAATTTTTTGCATTGCTTACATTTTCTTTCTCAGATAAAAAGCCCATCTTCTGTGAGCACTGTGATTTCAACACTGTGGACGCCTCACAGCTCAGGTCCCACCTGCTCAAGACACACCAGGACATCCTGACCCCAAAACAGACATCGTCCAAATCCTCAAGGTACATGGACCACCTCAGGAAGACCTTTACTGGTCAACCTGTGTCCATAGCAGTGGGCAGTATAGACAAATGAATGTCTCAATATCCCAATAACAACTGATTCCAACAGAAATGTGTTGAACATGTTTTTAAATGTTACTGAAGTTTGAATATTGGACAAATGTGAAAGGATGTAAAATTGCCCACAAAAGTGCAGTACTTCTTTTAATCAGCATTTTTTATTCTAAACTATATACTTAATATTTAAATTTTGCAGAACTTCAGAACAACATTCACTATAGTTTTTTTTTGTTTTCTACTACCAATTCAAGTAAATTTCTTGTTTTCTTATGATAACCTCTTATTTATCTTTCTATATCACAAAATTGGTAATTATAGTTTGTCCAAAACACCTTTGTTATTTTGGGTGATTCACTGAATGTTGTATTACTTTTGTGTATTTTCCAGGTATATGGACTACCTCAGGACGAGAAGCGCATTGCTCAGTCAATCCTACTGGAACCCTTACACTTACACTCCTGTCCTGGGGTCTTCAGAGGCACAGAACATAAAAACTGAAACGCCAAATTCTACTGAGGTCAAAGGTGAACCAGGCACACTACTCAATCTGTCCGTTGTCGAGGGCAGCACTGTAACCTCTGTCAAATCAGAGGGTCTGGTCAAAAATCAGTGCCCATACTGCTCCCACACATCCAACTATCCTGAAGTGCTGTGGATCCACCAGCGCGTCGCACACAGAGTGGACGGCAGCAGCTCCATGGCTCCAAAATGGGCCCCTTGTCCAATCACCTTCAAGAGTTTAAAAACAGGTTCCGCACCCAAGAGACGGACAGGACCTCCCCCTTTCCTTGAGGGCAAAGACTGCCCTGCTTTACCCACCCCACGAACTCAGCGGACTCACCCTCCTCGAACCAACGCAAATAGTAGCGGCAGAAGTAGCACAAGTAGTAATAGTAGCAGCAAGAATTCAAGCAACAAGAGCCAATCAACTGTCTCCAAACCCAAGACGACTCATCCAAAGGACTCCCATTCTGTAGCTGGGGCAGGTAAAGTGGCATCCCAGAAGTCTGCAGCAGTGGGGGGCAGTAAGGGGACTACTTCTTCAGGCGCTGTGGGGCAAAGCAAGAGTACATCCAGTGCCCAGTCCAGTCCAAAGTACAGAGTTAAGGGCAACTTCCCACAAGAGGGTTTGGGTTTTATGCTGGCCCGAAACCACCACAGTAGCACTTCATCAAACTCAAATAGACTCCACTCCCAAAGACAGTCATGTGACCCCACCTCAGGTCTCAAAGGTCACGACCTGTGGGCAGCCTTGAACATGTGGGGTGTACATGGGAGCAAAGCCTATCTGGACCCTCTCCTATTCGCTCAGGGAAAAGGTGAATCAACGGGACAAATGCCAATGGATATAAATATTTTAAGCCTGTTAAAAAACTACAGTCCCCATGATCTGGCCGCTCTGTACCAGCACTGGGGCTTTGTTGACCCCCGACTAGACCCACAAGGTAAGGGTAGGCTTTAATCGTAGGGATGAGACAAGATACAATTTCCACAAGATGAAAAGAGACACGAGATTGGGTTCACATGAACGAGACAAGACGAGATTTTGACATAATTTCTAATCTGTAAATTGTCCGAATTAGTTCCCAAAGTTGGCTTCAGAATTTGTACTTACTTCAGTGAATATTTTTGTTGTGCTTTTAGGAACTATGGCTTCTCAAAAGATTCAGCTCATCAGCACTTTAACCCTATTTTGTCCAATCCAAATGGGGAAATAAAATCTCACGAGATTATTTTTATTCTTGTGGCAATTTTGTCTTGTGAGACCTTGTTCCATCCCTATTAAATTGTTTTATTTTTAGATATTTCTGAAACAAGCATTGCATGTATGAACTGAAATATATATTGTGTGTTTTTCAGCGATGTTGCAGTTGAATGAGCACTATGCAAATGAGGTCCACTCCTCCTCTGAAGGTTCAAAGCAGGTATGTAGACAACTAACGCACAATCCCTCCATGAACTGTTTTACATGAGGTATACACTACTGATGAAAAGTTTTAGAACACTCAAATTTTTCCAGTTATTTATTGAAATTCAAGTCGTTCAAGTCCAATGAAGAACTTGAAATGGTACAAAGGTCAATACTGAACAGTCAGAGGTTAAAAATTAAGATAAAAGATAACAAAACACAAGTCCAAGCTCTGCCAAAACTACCTCAGGAAAAAAGAACAAGATGGTAAGCTTGAAAATATGAAGTGTCCAGCACAGTGTCCAGACTTAAACCCCATTGAGCTGGTTTGGGCTGAACTGGACAGAAGAGTGAAAGCCAAGCAACCTACAAGTGCCACACATTTATGGAAACTTCTGCAACAGACTTGGGAAGAACTTTCTGAAGAATATTTGATTTCTATTGTAAGATAAATGCCACAAGTGTGTTCAGCTGTTATATCTGCCAAAGGTGAACACTTTGTGAATCAAAAGTTTAGAATATGTTTTGGTCAACAGTTCTAAAACTTTTGACTGGTAGTGTATGACAATGATCCCCACATTTTTTCTGAATGATTTTGTTACATTTGTTTGTAGTCATTTTAGCTGCCCTGTATTACGCAAAATTGACTCTTGTGAGCTTTAAGGCATGTTATAATGTTACCTCATACTTGGAGTTGTGTTTTATTTTATTCACATGTTTAAGTTATATTTTATTATTAGTCTGTTTACATCTTTGTTCCACTTTGTGAGGTCATGAAGCAGTAGTTTTCAAGTTAACAGCTCCTTTTACCTTTTGTTCAGTAGAGATTGGCAATTCCAGGGCTGAAATTATCCAAATGATTCTAGCAAAGGTGTGTGGAGTTTAAAAACACAGTGGAGCACTTCCTGTATTATGACATGAGTTCACAAGGTGGAACAAAGTGTTTTCTGTTTAGAAGAAGAACTTAATTATGCAGGATGTGTGTGTTAAACATGAGTGAATGAAACAAAACACAACTCTAGGTTAGTTTGTGATGAGGAAACAACATTATAACATAGATCAGATCAGAAAATAGTGTAATATGGGCCCATTAAATGTATTTCTCTATAAAAATAATAAGCTTGGCCTCATTACTATATTAAATAGCTGTATGAGTCTCTATAAGAAATACACACTGTTGTTTATAGTCTGTAAATTATATATTTTTTCACTCTCAGCATTCGTCACATGATCTAACTTTTTTTTTCCTGTGTTTGTTTCTTGCAGGTAAACAGTCATTCAGCGTCCTCAGGGTCTCTTCACAAAGGAACGTGAAGCTCCATTTTGTCACTGATTTTGTCCAGAACAAAGATGTCTGCTGTTTCCCCAAAGGAGCCAGATTGTGAAAATGGCCTGACAATGCACAACATATGCAAAACAGAGAATGGAGATAGAGACTTTAATTTGTCATTTGTTTCATTTGAAGTGTTTTTGCATGTTTTTGTTAAGAGTGTTGACATGTTTTAGGTCCTTGAAATATTTTGAATAGAAAGGACGGTTTGTTTTCAAAGGGTCCGCATTACGCTATTTTCTGATCTATGTTAGAATGTTGTTTCCTCATCAAAAACACACCTGGACTTGTTTTGTTTCACATGTTTAACACACAAATCTTGCATATTTAGGCTGAGCTCTTCTCTCAAATGGAAAACACTCTATTCTACTTTGTGAGGTCATGTGTTAATACAGGAAGTGCTCCAATGTGTTTTTAAACTCCATACACCTTCACTAGAATTATATGGATAATTACCACCCTAGAGTTTCCAGTTTCTGCTGAACAAAAAAGTAAAAGGAGTTGTTAACTTGAAAACGAGCACTTCAGGACATCACAAGTTGGAAAAGAGGATTTTGAACTTTCTATAGACAGAAAATTACACATTAAAACGTGTGAATGAAACAAAACACAACTGCAAGTATGTTTTTGAGGAGGTAACAACATTCTAAGATTGCTTAAAGCTCATAATAATCAATAATAATGCGTAATATAGGACCTTTAAGTGTGAAGTTCTAAAAGACGAAGATTGCGTGTAGTATTGTGAAGTTTTAAAGACTACACAAAATGGGCGCACAACACCAAGTAGTGAAACTCATTATATCAGGGGTGCCATTACTACGTGCGACTTTAAAATAATACTAGCTTTCTAATAGACAATAATAATTCACTCACTGAACAGTTCTAACCTGGGGAGACACAAAGTTTTAATGGAGATAATACAGAAATATGTTTGTTGGTACTTGAAGATCAGTAGTGGAAAGTAACAAAGTACTCTTCTTAAGTACAATTTTTAGATATCTGTACTTTACTTAAGTGAATTTAATACGTTTTATTTCACTACATTTTAGAGCAGGTGTCTGTACTTTCTACCCCACTACATTTTTTTACAGGACTGAAAACTTAAAAAGTACTTTCTATATTATTTGAGTGGTTGTTTTAGCACTTTCATGGTAACATCCTGACAAAACGGTTTGAGTTCAAGTCCCGGCTTTGAGCAAACTACATATTTACATGAAATTACACAGAACAGTTAAGAAATTGTTAGTGTTGAGAAAAAAAAAATCTGCACAGTTCTTTATCAATATCACTATATTTAAAAATTGACCAGTTCTCATAATCTATGTGAAATACTTTTGCTTTTTACTTAAGTAGATTTTTATATTTGATACTTTTACTTGAGTTATATTTTGCCCGTGTATCTGTTCTTTTGACCACTTCATCCACCACTGTTAAACATGAAATCCAGCGTAAATTTTATAGATTTGATTAACTACGTACTACATTTAACTCTCTGTATAATACCTTTACTTCAGTATTTGTGTTGTGCCTCTGAGCAAAATGAGCTTCTCCATGACAGCTTTATTGGCTTTGTCCATTCATGGTTTTATTATAAACTTAATTTGATGAGCATTTTGCCAAATCAAAGTTACATCTTTTCTTTTAGATTTGTTCTCCCACAAGGGGGCGCCACATTCATGTTTTTTTTTTTTTTTTTGGCTTTGGTCCGTGATTTAAAACAGATGCCCTAGTGACTCTTGTACATTCAAAAACAAAATACTAATGCTACTAAAATTAGTGGCCATTCATTTTCAGTGTCAAAAATATGTTTTGATTCCAACACAGTGCCCTGCCTTATACAGTTTGTACAAAGTATTGTATTTTTGAGCTGCTCATACAAGTAGCTTTGGTTAAATTGATCTCTGATAAGGAAGAATGTGCAGACTGGCTTCACATTGTACTAGTTAAATGCTGTGATTTAGTTTTAGCAAAAGCGAAGAAAGCCGAGTTTGAGACTTGTTTTTTTTTTTTTAGTTTTTTTTTATTTAAAACGCCTCAGTTTGTGTTCATCGTTTTGTTTGCAGATTTTTTTCTAGTGTGTTCATGTTTTAGTTCAGATTGTATCGACTTTCCTTTAAAAGCTCTCTTTATTTGTAATGAGAAGATAAGCCATCGGGCCATTGGGAGACTTTGGGAATAGATAATTTATTTTTGAACTTTTTATGATGTTGTTGATAGTTTAATTTAAGTGTCTTTTTGCAACTCTTCAAGTATGTGATGAGGCGAATTGATATGAACATTTTGAAGGAGAGGAATAATTGATCCTATTTTGAGTTAATTTTGTGACAATGTTTCATAGTTTATAATTATGAAAATTTCTATTGTTTCTGTTTTCACAGTTTGTCTGACTGTAAAATGATCCAATAAAGTTGGTTAAGTTGGTTTACTGTGAAATATTTTGTCCCCATTTAATCCACATGATATTCAGCACAACATTTACAGCTTTTACTTATTCAGTTTGAGATACTCTTTTTATTGCTGAGGTGGCAAAATACACTTTGCACTTTGTCAAGTGCAATGTTGAGTTATTTTTTGTTAAATTATCCTTTTTTATCTCAATAAGCAGTGTAAAGAAAAAGCTATAAAACAACAAGTGGTTCATTCAAAGTTTCGAAATGAACGTTGTTGTCAATTCCACCATGTAACAGACATTACACAGGGGGATCAATTTGTCCAGAATTCCAATGTGCAGTTAAAAAATAAAGATACACACATACACATACCACACATAGACGTGAAATGTACATAGATATCAATAATAAATAAAATAAATGCAATATACAGACAGACAGACAAGGGCATGAGGTAGCTATTTTTGATTTACTGTAAATGAAGGTGTAATATATAAAGTGTAGAGTGCTGAGAGAGAAGCATGGACATATGAAGTTCTGTGCATATATATGAAAAATGTCTCAGTCATCTAAGTAGAATCCATGGCAAAGGAGAAATTCAATTTGTCAACTGGACAAAGTTTATTTGGTCAAATACGTTTCGCAGCTCATCCAAGCTGCTTCTTCAGTTTTGGTCAGACGCTGGTGGACACTTCCTTATATTTGTCTGCAGGGAAGAGCTAAATAACAACTCTGAAACTAACACACCTATTTGTTTACAGTTTCTGTTAGTTATCTAGGCCTATTGAACTGCACTGAGAGTGGAGTCATATTATCATAATCATTCAGGGCCATAATGAGTGCTTTCACACCTCTAAACATGACCTGGCTAAGGCTATTGTAATAAACTTTAAACAATAAACATAAATAAACAAATAAACTTTTGTCCAGTTGACAAATTGAATGTCTCCTTTGCCTTCTGTGCATTTACTTGTAGTTTATCTGTTCTACCAGCAGATGGCAGACTTCACCATGAAATAAAAGTCGCCTTTTCAAAAGATCTTGTTGGGAAATATCATTATGCCACTGGGACGTATCTGAGAAACTCAGACAGCCTTTAGCTCTAACATCCAAGTTGTTACTTCACCTTACAAGCGAAAGTGTAAGTTTCCTCTAAAATCAAGAAACTGTGAAAAATAATCTCTGAATAACTAAATAAATTGACTGTATATAAATATGCTCTACAGTCCCTGTTAACAAATCAAACAAACATATCTACAAAATGAGTAGAACTTAGAACCTAAGAAAAGAATCCATTTTATTTTTTTTATTTTAATAACTTGTAAAAATTCAGGTTTTTGTATATTTAATAAAGGAAAATAAATAAATAAATGAAAGGGATGTTGAACAAGGGATTTGTTCAGAACAGTGGGTCACGGCACATCCTCCTCTCTTCCAGCGCTGTCACAAAGCTACAGTCTGATCCCACACACCAGTGCCTCAAACTCTTCGCTGTGGGATATTTCACTTACACTGGAATGACAAAAACGGTCCCTTGCTGGTGAACTTGAATGACTAGCATTTGTTGCCAGTCAGCTGCTGTTACAGAAAAGCTCCTGTGGTGGTCTCTGTCTAAACCACAGTGACACGGGCCTGGTGCAACAGTGTGTACGGCCCCGCCCTGTCACTGTGCGTTTGTCAGTTCCCCTGTGATACATCTGGTGCAGTGACAGCCTCCGTTCACTGAGACGGAGAGACGACGCAGATCATGTCAGGACCGCCACCAGCCACTGCCGCTACAGAGTGGATCATGTCCGGGGCCAGAGGGAGCTGAGGGCCCTGGCATATGCTCTGTGACGGCCCAGCGATGGAGGGGGCAATGAGGAGAGAGACAGAGAGAGAGAAAGAGAGGGAGGAGAGTGGAAAACAGAGGAGGAAATATAGAAGGACTGGTGCATGATGGGAGTGACAGCTGCCTGATATGTCCTCATGAGATGTGGAGATGTTTAGACTGGACTAAGGTAGTGTAAGTGAGTCTGTGTACGCCTGTGAAGCTGGGTAGACAAAAGAGAAACACATACATTATTACATTGTTTTAAATTTTCTATCCACAGAAATACTCAAGTTAATGTAAAAATGCAGTAGGCTATGCAGTATTTTAATTGTATTTAACTGTAAAAATTAATACAAATTATGGAAACACTTAAATAGACCAACTAGACTATTTAAAGGGCCCATATTACACTACAATCTGTAATCTGTAATGTTATGTGGTAAAACAGGAAGTGCTCGATGGTGTTTTTAAACTCCATACACCTTTGCTAGAATTATTTTGACAATTTCAGATCTGAAATTGAAAGGTAACTACCACTAAATTACATCACGAGGTGGAAAGGAGAATTTTGAGCTTTGGAAATGTCAGATAAACAATAAAGAGTTACTCAAAACACAACTCCAGGTCTGTTTCTGAGGAGGTAACAACATTCTAACATAGCTTAAAGTTCAATCTTAAAGAGTCAATTTTGCGTAATATAGGTTGCATACAAAAAATCTTTAAATTCTTTCAAAAAATATGTATCATTATATATTTATATTAGTTAGTTAGTTTATTTTCT